AATGAAATAATAAATGTATAAGAATGATAAATGTAAAGAAGAATAACAATCTTGTGAATGTATACTTAAAATAGTATGTAAGAGAATAAAAAAATAAAAAATTCTTTGGGAAAAAAAGGATTCCATGCTAGGAGGAGACTCTATGGTGGGGAACCGGACTTCTGGTCAGCTCCAGAATTGAACAGGAGACTTCCAGTTAGGACCCAGTGGCTCTTTCAGTGTTGAAGGTTGCCAACCCCTGGATTAGGGTTAGGATTAGGTTTAAAAATAAAATCCAGTTGCCTTCTGAAAAAGCACCATGACCTGAATGACTGAGAATCTCCATAGACATTGAGGACCACTGGTATATACCGTTTCCCCGAAAATAGAAAACCTACACCGAAAATAAGTCCTAGCTGGATTTTCACATGTGCACCCAATGTAAACCCTACCTAAAATAAGCCCTAATTAAGACCCCACTAACTCCAGGGTGCATGGATAAAAATTAAGCTAGGGTGGGGGTGGAGCTGCCTTACTACTTACCTTCACACAGTTGCAGCCAGGCCTCGCATACCCCAACACCTGCCTTGCCAGCCCATTTCTTCTGCAGCCGACAAGGTCAATAAGGGTTTCCTAAAGTATTAACCCTAATCCTAACCCTAACTCTGCAGCCTATAACAACTCTGAATCAGTCAAAGAGTTTCAGGAAAGTTTTTGCCAGCTGCAGAAGAAGTTCCTGAAGGCCTCTGACAATGAAAAGAAGGGCTGGGTGATGCACGCAAGTGAGGTGAGTCAGTGGATGACATCCCCCCACTACCAAAAAATAAAACCTGGTGCCTCTTTTGGTGGCAATATATATATATATAAGACAGGATCTTATTTTCAGGAAAACGTGATAGTAATTTTTTATAAAACTAGAAAAACTACTTTCATAATTTTGTTGCTGATAAACAATGTAGAGTCCTAAAGTCAAATACAACCATTTATTTATACATCCCCTTTATTATATTTATACTGTACATAAACCAAGGCAGTGAACATACCTACTGTAGGTGAGTTAGACTGTGAGAGAGTGACTGGCAGTCACCTAGTTGGCTTTTATGCCTAAGTCATGAGTAGAAAAAGTGAGGATTGTGAGTTCTTATCTTCTACTCCCAGAGGTGGTAAAGAACCCTTTAAAAAATTACTAGGGATAAAAACATTACATAACCAATAAGCCATCCTAGCAATACATAGCCTTGAAGCATGATATTTTTTGACTGCTCAGCTAATGTTTACATACCAAGTGTTTGGTTTTGTATTAACTTATTTATATTTTTAGTGTGCACAATTTTTATCTTTTATGATTGCAGAACCTCAGAGTTGTCCAGTGGTAAAATGGACAGCCAATTGTTTTTATAAATAAATAATAAACTTGGGGTTTTCTGGTGTTTCTCATTCAAGTATTAACCAGGCTTTGGCCTAATCACCAAGCTCAAATAAAGTCAGCCAAATGTTATTATTTGGTATGGCATGCAAAGATCAGACCAAATTCAAAAGAAATAGTATGTTAAGTAGGAAAAAAAATAATCAAAGTTTAAATTTGATAAATGTCTGGAGATTCTCAGCAAAAGTGCTTTTTCAAGAGAAACTAGACTTTATTTTGCTTTTTCCTTGAATGCATTTTGCTTCTCATCCAAGATGCTTTTTCAGAATAAAAGAATGAGAGTTAGGCGGGAGACTCCAATCCCAAGAAACATTGTATTGTGGTTTCAGATTCATTTCATCCTGTATTTGAAGGATCATCCCCATGGAGTTTATGGGAGGAGCAAGAAGGAGGTCAAACTGAAGACCTGGCTCTTGCCCCAGGCATTGGACCAAGTTGTTAGTTGAGCCTAGTATAGTTTGGAGTTACCATAGTGCCTTGATTAATGTATTATGGTTCTTTTTAAGTTTGTTCTGTATTTGTGTTTTGAGGTTTTTCTCATGCATTTTTGTGGATTCTTGTTAAATCACCTACCGTCATGTGGTGGTGGCCATGTACATTTTCTAAATGAATGAATCAATGACAAAACATGATAACAATAATGCAAATTCCACCTCCTTTGTACTTATATCAGGATATTATATGCAAGCTGCCTTGTAACATTGTCATGCAGGTTTTGTCACAGCTGTTGACATCCTTTAAATTAATGTGCCCTTCATTTTCTTCTTGCTTGTAATTGGCCTCTGATGCTGCCTTAATGCCTTATGCAGCAGAGGACTTTTTGGATAATTGTTATACGCATTGCAACAGGATAAAAATCACTGATCCAGTGGGAAAGATTGATACAAAAACTGTCAAATCAAAGAAGAGTTGCTCTGCAGGCTCTGGTGATCTCAGAACCCAAAGTAAAAGAGGAAAGCCACGTGGGTACTGCCAGCTTGATAAGCCAGACCTTGAATAAAAAGCAGTGTTTCTTCGTCAATGTTTCTATCTCTCCAGAAAAAAAGCAATCAACCAAAAGTCACTTGGAATGTTGTTGAAAAAATTGCAGCAGGGGATTAATTAGTGGAGCAATAAGGAATGTTCTTCCCAACTTGTATGCTTTGTATCTGTTCTCCCTCAGCATCAGAGTAATTTAGGGGACTGAAGGCTAAAACACATGAGGAATGTTTACAGCAATTGGAGAATACAGAACAGGAGGAAAAGAAAGACTAGAATAACTTCTGAAATAGCCAAATCTTTATTTGGTCTAAGGACTTTTTATATCTTGAATCAAGACTCAAATAACTGTAGCTGACCTGTACATGACAATAGTATATACCTACAACTTAACAAGTGCACCATTATGCCCCACCTCTACAAAGTTGAAATTTGGATTTGATATTAAACCATGGCTTGGTTAAACTTAGCATGATGTGAGAACACAGAAATAGTAATTTTCAATCCATGATTTATGATGCATCATGTTATGTAAACCAAGCCAACTTAAATTTAGTCAATTTTAGCCAAGCCATTACAGAAGTATAATTATTTGTTTCGCTTTTGTGCTTATAGGTGTTCACCTGGTTATACATATATGGCCCTGCTGGGCACCCATCAGCTCTTCAATCTTTCACATGGTGCAGTATTTGCGAGGCTGAAAAAAATTATCCTCCACCCAGACTTCAATGGAAAGATCGCCTCCCTTGGAGATATTGCTTTAATTCAGCTGGAAACGCCAGTGGATTTCACCAACTCCATTATGCCCATCTACTTGCCGACATCCTCTGAAAAATTATCCACAAAAACAAATTGTTGGGTCACTGGATGGGGAGAAATTAAATATAAAGGTGAGGCACATAAAAGGAATCTACAATCTGCTTAGAATTGCTTGGAGTAAGTCATTAAAAATGTGAAAAGTACGGAAAAGTAAAAAGTAAATATGAAACAGGAGTATACTTTTAGTTTTCTTTCCAATTCTTTTTCATTTTGATCATGGTTTAATTTCTTTAGACCATCATTGCTGTCTGTGAATCTCCCAAGTGTGAATTGGTGGTTCATAGATGTCGTAAGAAGCTCAGACAAAATATTTCATATAGGCTGGGATTTGAGCAAATTGCTAGAATAAGAATGTTAAGCATGCTGGATACTTTATGCACTTTTGTTGGTTTTCAAATATGAAACATTTTGTGAAAAAATGGCACTTTGTGGCCACATTTTTGTAGTACAACCACAGACATCCAGATCAAAGTTATAGCTTCTGTATGGTGACATCATAGCTCATATGCCAGCATTACAAATTTGCATCCCAATTGTTTACATATGTAATTTATGGGTGTTATCTCTTCACGTTATGATGTTTTGTCTTTTCCCAGGTACAATAACCACAAAGGAAAGTCACAATTCATGATCTATAAAGTGCATTGAATAGGTTTGCGCATAGCATTAAACCAGAACATAATAAAGATCATGATGGAGTAAAACAATTGGAACCCAATCACTACATGCTTGGCCTCTCAAAAAATGCAATGCTTATTTCTTTACCATAATGTGCTGAGAAAAGTTACCCCTGTCTTTCCTAAAGAAAAATTTTGTACAGATCACAAATCTTGCTGTATCCTGCTATATCTAGTTACATGGTACATTGATTGATAAAATGAGGCATATCTAACTAGGATGATTTCAAACTGCCTTTTTGTTCATTGCTGTAACCCCTTCCTCTCTCCCACAGTACCCTTCTTGAAACCTCCACTAACCCTCCAGGAAGTGAAACTGTCTCTCATAAACCAGAAGAACTGCAAGCGGATCTACAACAACTTTAAAGTTATTGGCCTTGCAAAGGATGCTATCAAGGATGATATGATTTGCGCAGGTTATCCAAACAGTAGAAAGCATTCCTGCCAGGTATGATGTTCCATATGGGGCTTTTTTTTAAATTTCTTACATCCAGGGGGTTAAATTCAATTACTGTATTTTTGGAGTATAAGAGGCTCCTAAGTATAAGGTGTACCTAGCTTTTGGAGAGGAAAACAAGGGGTGGGAGGGGGAAATCTGCCTCTGCCTGCCAGCAGTTTGCCTCCTTGCAACAAACAGCACAGATGATATACACTGTTTGTGGTGCATATCTGTGCATATGTGCCTGAACCATAGAAATAGCAAAGAATTGGAGAAATGTACATTACAGCAGTATATTAACGCCAGAAAGTTTTCTTAAATGTAGTCACACAAACTCCTCACAATTATTTAAATAGATCTACTCCAAACATGACTAAGTCAGTGTATAACTCAGCTGCCTTATCTTAATTCTACAACAGGACACTGTTATATTTCAAACTATACTTGTAAAGATGCTGTTAAAATTGATGTGGCTTTCTGGAAGTATAGATTATTCTCTGCTATTTAAAAGAAGATACAATAGCACTGGGCCTCTTCAGATCAAGCATTTATTTTAAAAAGCTTCTTCATTTTGTTAAGTTGTCTAGAACAATAATAAAGCAGTCTTTAAAAATTAAATCTAATAATTTGAACATTCTAGAGGCATTTATAATGATTATTGACTTACCTCCTTGCAGCAAGCAGCAAACAGCTTGTTTCAGTTTCTCCTGATTAGCACAAGGGGAAAAAAATCTTCCTCTGCCTTCCAGCAATTTTGCTCCCTTGCAGCAAAATTTCAATTTCAGCATGGGCCTCCTGATGATCAGCTGTTTCAGGCTGCAGGGATTGCACCTGAAACAGCTGGTGGTCGGAGGCCAATCCAACCGATAATAGGCTGCTGGTGCTAATCAGGCTATGCTGAAGATGAAACTGGCTTTTTGCTGTTTGCTTCAAGGAGGCAAATTGCTGGGAGGTAGAGGCCAAAGGGTGGGGGCTGGTGGGTGAGCAGGGCAATATTCGGTGTATAAGACGCAGCCAAATTTTCATCCTCTTTTAGGAGGGGAGTGCATCTTATACCACAAAAAATAGGGTACCTCTTTTGTTTTGTAACATGAGGATGTATGGAAAACACATTATCATTTCATAACAGTTGTACTTTTTAGGATGGTTTAAGACTAGAAATTAACACTATGAATGATAGATACTACTGAGAGATCATACTTTCTGCTCTTTTCTCATTGAGATATTTGAGATGGTTCACTTATCATTCTTGTAAGTTTCTATTTTAGCAAATTGGGACTGAGATCGCTGGTAGCATCCAAGTTCTATGCGGTTGAAATGAAGGTCCTAACATCTTCACCCACTTTTCAAAAAATCCGAAAAGCATCTTTTATAAGCCACTTTTGTTCAAATCAGATTTCCATGTATTGGCTGCATTAACACTGTCTTTCCTAATAGATTACTCTGATCTGTAGAGAGGTTCAGCTGAGTGTTCAATATTTGGTTTTAATTGTCTCTTTACATTTTGGATAAAGGGTGACTTAGCTCCAACTGGGCTACTGTCATTCATATGTTGCTGTTAGTTGCGAAGTTGTGTCTGACCCATCGCAATCCCATGGACAATGTTCCTCCAGGCCTTCTCTCCTCTACCATCCTCTGGAGTCCATTTAAGCTCACGCCTACTGCTTCAGTGTCTCCATCTAGCCACCTCATTCTCTGCCGTCCCCTTCTTCTTTTGCCCTCAATCGTTCCCAGCATTAGGCTCTTCTCCAGTGAGTCCTTCCTTCTCATTAGGTGACCAAAGTTTCTGAGTTTCATCTTCAGGATCTGGCCTTCTAAAGAGCAGTCAGGGTTGATCTCCTCTAGGACTGACCGGTTAGATCACCTTGCAGTCCAAGGGACTTGTGGGAGTTTTCTCCAGCACCATAGTTCAAAGGCCTTAATTCTTTGGTGCTCAGCCCTTCTTATGATCCAGATCTCACAGCCATACATCGCAACTGGGAAAGCCATAGCCTTGATTACATGCACTTTTGTTGGCAGTGTGATGTCTCTGCTTTTTAGTACGCTGTCTAGATTTGCCATAGCTTTCCTCCCTAGGAGCAAGCATCTTTTAATTTTCTTGGCTGCAGTCCCCATCTGCGGTGATCTTGGAGCCCAGAAAAATAAAATCTGTCACTACCTCCATTTCTTCCCCATCCACCATTCACATAACATGACAATAATGGTTCAAAGCAAGAGAAGGGCACTATAAATTAATTGTTCTCTAGTGGCTTCTCACCTGAATAGGTATTCATAATAATGAAGAATAGTAGCAATCATCAAGCAGCTAACTGGAGCTAAACAGTCTTCTTGGCTTTTCAGAGACTTCCACAAATTCTTTCTGGCAGCTTAGCTATTCTCACTAATTGGTCTCAATTATTGTTACAGATTTTCCAAAATTCAATTCACCGTTCCTACTTTCCTTATTGGAAAGTAGACCATCTTTCAAAGGTTTTGCCCATCCAAAAATCGACTCAAGTTACAGATATTTTCTTTCATTGCCACTGCATTCTTGTAAATCCAACTACATTGATGTAATTCCTTATTTAAGTTTTTTAGAGACTTCATAAATTGATTCCTTATTACTTTATTTCTGATACTGCTATAATTTTATCAGCACTTTAGCTATGAATGTTTACTTGCATTCCAGTCTAAGATTGTTACAAAGAATTTGCTCATTCAATTGTTTTTAGTTATTTATTTTTCTTTTGGGGAAAAGAAAGGTTTCAGGTTTCAGGTTTCAGGTTTCGTTTTATTTATATGCCGCCCTATTCCCAGAGGGACTCAGGGCGGTGAACAAACCCAAGGGGGAAAGGGAAACACAAAAAGTACAAATACAAGCATTTAAAAATAGCCAACAGCCACACAGATCAAAAGGGGAAGGGAACTCATTAACCCCAGGCCTGCCAACACAGCCAGGTTTTAACGGCTTTTCGGAAGGCCTGGAGAGAGGTGAGGGTCCGAATCTCTGCAGGGAGTTCGTTCCAAAGGGCCGGAGCTGCCACAGAGAAGGCCCTCCCCCGGGTGGTAGCCAGATGGCATTGGCTGGTAGACGGAACCCGGAGGAGGCCAGCCCTGTGTGATCTAATGGGTCTCTGGGAGGTAATTGGCAGCAGGCGGTCTCTCAAGTACCCAGGTCCAATACCATGAAGAGCTTTATAAGTGACGACTAGCACCTTGAAGCGTATCCGGAGACCGATCGGTAACCAGTGCAGCTCGTGGAGGATAGGTGTAACGTGGGTGTACCGAGGTGCACCCACGATCGCTTGCGCGGCTGCATTCTAGACGAGTTGAAGTCTCCGAATGCTCTTCAAGGGCTGCCCCATGTAGAGTGCAAGAAAGAGAGGGGGGGAAGAGAAAGTAACAATAAAACAAATGATAAAACAGAGCAGACCATAATACAATTTATGAATTATTCTGATAGTCCATTCCTCGTAGAATTCAATAAATGGAATTCTATTTATTTTATTTGTTTGTTTAATTATATCCTGCCTTTATTTTTTTATTTGTCAATAACTCAAGGAGGGAAACATATTGAATTCTCCTTCCTCCTCCTATTTTCCTCATAATAACAACTATATGAGATGGGTTGGCCTGAGAAACAGTGATTGGCCCAAGGTCACCCAGTCTGTTTTTCATGAGGAAGGTGAGACTAGAATTCAGATTCCTTATTTCTGTCCTGGTTTTTTAACCCACTGGACCAGGAGTGCAAACTCAAGGCCCATGGGTTAGATTTGGTGCTTAAATCTGGCCAGCAGGGTCAGCCTGGAAATATCAACGGACCGGTCCACAGGGCTGCTGGAGCCCATTTTTGGCTGAGTGCTACAGAAGACCAAGGAGGGCAAAATGAGGTGTGGGGGTGCATGTACCCCCTGTGCCCCATTTTGGCTGGTAACATGCTAAGGGAAGCCATTCAGACTGAAAATGGGGCAAAGGGGGCTGTGTGTGGGGCCCCCGTGCCGTTTTGGCCATCAAGGTGCTACAAGAGGCATCCCCTCCGCCAGCCCATGGAAGAGAACTATAATGCTGATCCAGCCCTCAAAGAAATCCATTTTGACACCCCTACACTAGACAAATTTGGTCTAGTGCAGGAGTGTTTATGCCCGTGTACTTTTATTAGAAATTTACAAGAGCCCTCCACGGTCAAAATTACAATAACTTTAAATAAAACAAACGTAAAGGGTTTTCCCCATTATTGCAGATGCAGGTAGTCCTTGCTTAGTAATTGCAATTGGAGCCAACAATTCAGTTGTTAAGCAAAGCAGTCACTAAATGAGAGCTCGATTGTCCTTTCAATTTTGAACAGGACAAAAGCAATCTAACTAATTGTAATGGCAAACATGTGACTGAGAAAGAAATGCTGCTAAGGTGGGGCATTGGTCCCAAAGTTATTTCTTCCTCAACCATGTAACTGCAAATGGTTGCTAAATCAGGCAATTACTAAATGAGGACTAATTGTAAAAGCTAAAATTAGTGAAAATGTGATTAGCAAGAGAGATAAGTGGATGGGGATGGGAATGAAGTCGATCCCGTTTCAGTTCGTTCACTTGCATACTAATGCCCTCCCTCTCTGTTATATCTTTCTTCCACAGTGTGACTCAGGAGGCCCCTTGACATGCCTAGTCCAAGGAAGATGGACTCAGGTTGGGATTGTGAGCTGGAGAATTGGATGTGCCAGTAAAATATACCCTGGCGTCTACACTTCGGTATCTTACTATTCTGACTGGATCAAAGATGTAATGGAGGAGAACATGAAAAACAAATCCAACTCCAGCAATGTACCTGCACAAAATGCATCCACTCTACCAACACCCAGTCAAAATGTTTCCACTCTAGTGGTACCAGCACCCACTCAAAATGCACCCAATCTACCAGCACCCACTCAAAATGTTTCCACTCTAGTGGTACCCATTCATAATGCATCCACTCTACCAGCATCCAGTCAAAATGCTTCCACTCTAGTGGTACCAGCACCCACTCAAAATGTTTCTATTCTAGTGGTACCCACTCAAAATGCATCCACTCTACCAGCATCCACTCAAAATGTTTCTATTCTAGTGGTACCCACCCAAAATGCATCCACTCTATCAGCACCCATTCAAAATGCATCCACTCTAGTGGTACCAGTACCCTCTCAAAATGCACCCAATCTACCAGCACCCACTCAAAATGTTTCCACTCTAGTGGTATCCACTCAAAATGCATCCACTCTACCAGCACCCAGTCAAAATGCTTCCACTCTAGTGGTACCAGTACCCACTCAAAATGCACCCACTCTACCAGCACCCAGTCAAAATGCTTCCACTCTAGTGGTACCAGTACCCTCTCAAAATGCACCCAATCTATCAACACCCACTCAAAATGTTTCCACTCTAGTGGTACCAGCACCCACTCAAAATGCATCCACTCTACCAGCACCCAGTCAAAATGCTTCCACTCTAGTGGTACCAGTACCCTCTCAAAATGCACCCAATCTACCAACACCCACTCAAAATGTTTCCACTCTAGTGGTACCAGCACCCACTCAAAATGCATCCACTCTACCAGCACCCAGTCAAAATGCTTCCACTCTAGTGGTACCAGTACCCTCTCAAAATGCACCCAATCTACCAGCACCCATTCAAAATGCATCCACTCTACCAGCACCCAGTCAAAATGCTTCCACTCTAGTGGTACCAGTACCCACTCAAAATGCATCCACTCTACCAGCACCCAGTCAAAATGCTTCCACTCTAGTGGTACCAGTACCCACTCAAA